CTCCCTGACCTCAATCCACTTTCTTCATAACCTTGACTATATAGTGTATTGCTTCGTCCCCTCTCTCTCCAGCCCTTGTCAACCTGGTCCTTCTGCCACCCCTTCCTCATACACTTTCCCGGGACAACACAACCACCTTCCTTTTGTCCTATCCCAGGTTAGCAAGTTCTAAGGGAGAAAAATCACACAACTCATCACATTCAGTGTCTCCAACTCCACCTGGTTGCACAATCATCCTGTAACATGGATCTGGGCAACTTTCTCTCTCTTACCTATATACAGTGGCTCTTCCAAACTTTTTATAACTTCCCTAAAGAGCTCTGCCCAACTCCAACAACTCTCTCCATGAACCAATAGCCTCTTTTGCTCTCTGCATAAAGAGAGCAGGAACTGCAGCTCTCTTCCTTGTTGATTCTCAGCCTCCAGGAGTGGGTTGGCCCCTTTTGCCCCTTATCCCCACTCCAGCAGGGATAGATTAGTAATTAGAAAATAAACATCATGCTCAGCTTTTGGCTGCACTCATGGCTGGCCTGGGGATTCCTCTTGGCTTCCTTCATCTTACAGCCCTAATCTGCCTTGCTGCTTTTCTTCTGTAGTAAAGGAAGATGTGTCTCACTCTGTACCCTCTACTGATCTTCCTACCTTGTTCAAATAGCTCTACTCCTCCTATGCTATTATTGCTCCAGCTATAAATGACTGCGCATCTTCTATGTGCCTAGCGATTTGCTAAGCACATTTTTATATCTCATTTAAACCTCTAAAATAACCCTCTGACGTGGGTCTTATCCCTTCTTTACTAATGAGGTTCAGAGACTTTAAGTAACTTGCCCAGGATAATAGCAGAGCTGGATTTCAGCCAGCTTCTCTCTGTTCACTCTGCAATCCTGGCCTCTGTGACCAACCTTGTTGGCTGTGGGCAGGATCCCCATTCCCTCCTCTGTGCCTGACTGATCTGGATCTGCTGGCCCTGCTCGTTCACGGCACTCTGCAGAGCTCTTCCTTTAGGTTTGCCCCTCAAGGTGGTTCTGAGCCCCTGTAGGGCAGGAAGCTTCATTTACATATCCAAGTGCCCTCTATAAATGCTTTCGACTGCATTAAGTTCAAGTCTACTTTGCCTGTGCATCAGTGTTCTGTGATTAGTTGAGCATTTTGCCTTTATTCTTTTATACACTGAGTGGACATGAAAAAGTGATGACGCTAGAGAAAAGATACGAGATCTCATAAACTTGGTACAATAGGAACAAAGTTGAGAAAGTATTATGGATGCCAAAGTCAGTGACTATGGTCTCAGTTGGACACGCACTGGGCTTTGGTTGGTCTGGAGTATGTTCAATTGAGAAGGAAAAGCACAAAATTGAAGCATATGTGTGAAATGCTAGCAATACATGATTCAGGTTTACAACAAAAACATCAGGGATAATTAGGAATTTTATGTTTTCTCATTTCCACAGGATTTCCACTCCTTAGAATGAGACTCTGGTACTACCCGTGCTCACATGATACATAGAGAAACATTTCCTTGGCACTCACCGTGCACACATGTGCTGGAGCTTTACTCACATTCATCATTAAATTCTCACAGCAACTCTGGGACACAGGTACAGTTTTCTTCTTCTCCTACCCCACCTCCTTCTCCTTCTTCTTTAAGATGAGAAAACAAAAGCAGAGAGAAGTAAAATAACTTGGCCCTGGTACATGACCTCTCACTGCGGGCAGCTGGGCTCCCACAGGGCCTGTGCTCTTCACCAGAACCCCACACTGGCCTGTCTAATGAACTTGTGGAACACGCCATGTGCAAGAGCGGATGACTGTTTTGAAACTTATACGATATATATAACAGAGGCCACATCTGCTCATATTTTTAGATAAATTCCTCCCAAAACAAATAAAAAACAAGTATGTGCTGGCAGAATGATCTCAGCTTTCTCCCACTTGGAGAGCAGCCCATCCAGCAGAAGAGAGCACTGGGTCTGGCTGAGTCTCACCTGCCCAGATGGGTGGGGCTTCATCCCTTCAAGTATTATATTGTCACATGTTCAGAGAGTGATTATTCTTTGTAAGGAAGGAAGCAAAGGAAGCAAAGGGAGGATGAACTTAACAAAGGGTGAGAGAGTTGCAGTGGATCAAACAATTCAGTAAGAGACGTGGAGACTGAAAGCAAACACATGGAGGCTCCAGCAAAGCTGCCATGTCAATGTGCCTCAAGGAAAGAAACTTAAAACCAGGTTCCCAAGTGACTGTAACTGCAGTCCTCCAAACCAACCCACATAAAATTCTTTTTCAAGTCTTATTATGCATTTGACATCTGTAGAATCTGAACTCAAGCAAAGCCATAAAGTGAAGCCACCTGTGAGAAAGATCATGGCTGCTCAGATCGCCTTGACCTGGAGATCAAAAAGAAAGGCCATGTTTTGTGGAAGTCTGCATGGAGAAGAGAATAAACACTTACTCAGTATCTGCCACATGCCAGGTCTCTACTAGAATGTTGACAAAAATTCGTTGGTCTCATCATCCCCAATTTACAGATGCAGGAACTCAGTAGGTCGTGAAGCAAGTAAGGGCTGGAGTCAGGCTTTGGGTCCGTATCTCTTTATAATATGATATTCTGTCAGTGAATTCTTACTTAGTACATTGCTATAGGTTTCTGACTTCAAAAAATCATTAACTCATTTTGTAGCATATATGTACATGAGATTATGTTGTATACCTTCAACTGATATGTTATATGTCAATTATATCTTAATTTACAAAAATGATTAACAACATACTGACCTCTCCGGAGTTGGGTCTCTGGCACTGCTCTAGTTACTGCCCTAGAGATGTCCCAGCGACTTCTGGCCGGACGGTTTCAAATTGAGTGCTGGTTTATAAATAACCTTACCCTCAGAGTAGTAGAGCTCTCATTATTTTCAAGGTTTTTGTTTTTATTAAGCTGCAGTTCACAACAGGAAATCACATGTTGTGCTGTGGGCCAGTACAACAGTATACAGCATTTAATGGCAATAATATTTAGCCTTGTCTCACGTGATGCTCTCTTGTTTTCTTTTAAAATATCCTGGTATTGAGCTGTTAAATTGATTTCATGGCCCACTAGTAGGTTAAGACCTACAGTTTAAAAAACATTGTCCTTGAAGAATTTGGTTGATCTTGAGACTTCTTTTTCTCATTTTACAAATGCAAAAATTCACTCTAAAGAATGAAGTGACTTCTATAAGTTCACACAGCTAAGAAGTGTTGGATAGACCTCAACCTGGAATTCTGTCTTTATGTCCAATATTCTTTTGTTAAAATATTTTATTTATTTATTTTTAGAGAGACAGGAAGGGAGGGAGAAGAGAAGGAGCAAAACATCGGTGTGTGAGAGATGCATTGATTGGTTGCCTTTCACATGCCCACAACCAGGGGGCCTGGCCTACAACACAGGCATGTGCCCTGACTGGGAATCAGACCCTGTGGTTTGCAGTCTGGTCTCAATTCACTGAGCCATACCAGCCAGGACAATGTGCAGTATTCTTCTGAATACAGAGTTTCTCCAGAGGAACTGAAAATAAGAAACTAAAGAAAACCCAAATACAACCCTGCAGGAAGAGAAATGCAGATGTGTGAAAAGACAGAGGAGGACCATGTAATAGAAGTCTCACTGCACCCTGGGCATTTGATACTCATTTGTGGTGCACTGGCTGTGTGCCAGCTGAGATGCAGGAGCTGGGAATTCAGAGACAGATAAGACAGTCTTTGCTTCAGAATGTGCTTGGGCCCCAGCCTGGTAGCTCAGTTGGTTAGAGTGTCATCCTGAAACTCCAAGGTTGAGGATTAGATTCCCAGTCAGAGCACATACAAGAATTGACCAATGCATAAATAAGAAGAACAAAAAATTGGTGTTTTATCTCTCTCTCCCCTCTCTCTAAAATCAATCAATCAATAATTTTTTAAAAAGAAGAATGTGTTCAGATTTAGTAGGAGGCTTCCATGTAAACAGATAAATTACTGTGCAGGGTAAGTAGAACCAGGTTAGTGATGTGAAGGAGACCAAAGAAAGGAATAAGGAATTCCGTTTGCAGTGGAGGTGCTGAAAAGGAAGGGACCCAGGGAGTGTGTTAGAGAAGGCTGGTTGGTGGGTACAAGGGGGTGGTGGTGGTAGTATGGGTGGAATGCCTTGAGAGTAAAAGATACTGGGTGAGCAGGAGGAGAGTCTTTTAGGCAGCTGGAGTAGTGTGAGCAAAGGGCAGGAACTGGTGTTGGGGGCCCAGGGCACACAGGTAGGGACGGGGTAGAGGGACCCAGTTTGCAATTTAGTAAAGTCACTTCGGCTCACTAGACTATTCATTGGAACAGTAAAGGGTGAACAGAAAAGCAGTGTTCACACTTGTTTTTGTGGTAAAATCCTTTGTTCGGATGAAACCGCCATGAAGGCCCAATGTATAAGTGAGGGAGTAGAGAACTTTTGTGGAAAATTAACAGGAAGCATACATGACATTGTTTGGAAATATTTTTTGAAAAATCCTTGATGGAGATAAAGGGGCAGATTGTCACTTTGGGGTCTGAATTCACACCAAGTCTTTAAGAAGAGGACAAAGCTGCTTTGTCTCAGAAAAGGAGTAGCTCTCAGACAGTCCAGGAGGGCAGGAGAGAGGGACCCAGTGAAATGAGGAAATATCCACGTGGCTCCTGCTATGGCCTCCCACTTCCACAGTTACCCACCCTCCAGTCCATTCTTCCTTTATCAAAATCCAGAGTAGGTAATCCTTTGAAAAGGCAAAAACCTTCAATGGCTCCCCTCACTCTCAGAAGCTCAAACTCCTGACAGTGGCCCCCCAAGCCCTGCCCCCTCTGTCCCCCCCACCACGACCCCCCACCAGGGCTGCTGCCCAGACCTCACCTCCCACAGGCTTCTCTCACCTACTCCAGCCACCCTGCCCTCCCTGCTGTTTCTGACTTCATCCCACACACTTCCTGCTTACATCTTTGGTGCTTTTCCATTCTTCCTGGTCTACCCTTCACCCAAATACCTGTGTTTCTCTCCATCATTTCAATCAGATCTCTTCACAAGTGTTACCTGAGCAGAGGACCCCAGCAGAGGAACAGCCTCTCCATCCCTCTTCATGCTCTCCCTCTTCTTTGCTTATTTCTTCGTAGCACATATCGTGCAGTAACGTAGTTGTTCATTTGTCAGATTGCCCACACCAGAGGCCAAGTTCCCGGCAGGTAGGATTTGACCCTCTTCCTTCGTGCTATCTTTCCAGCATCTAGAATGATGCCTCTAACATAGATGCTCCATAAATGTGTGTTGAGTGAGTTGCTTTGCCAGGGAGGCAGAGACCACAAGACGGGTTGAGATAGCAGGAAGCTTTGGGAGAGTTTGCACTTTCACTGCATCTTGGACTGGGGGTGGGGCGAGGTTTAAGGCAACTTCATCTGGATGTTAAGTGCAGGTGGACTCCCAGCTGGCATATGGGTTAAATGTGAAACAGATCAAGCGGGGGCTGACGAGGTGGAAGCAGAGTGGGGCTTGGGGTCCCACTGCCTTTACCTTCTTCCTTCTGGTTCTTTGGGCAGTGCATCTGAGCAAACCCCAGGTGTACAGTGTTAGCTACACGGTGGCCTTCCACCGGGTCCCACAGAGAATGAACCTTGAGACTCCTTCCATCACAGGAAAGGCAACTCTCGCACTCTGCAGAGGGGACTGGAGGTGTGGGGGCGACTTTCCTTGCAAGTCCCCCTGTGTGCCACGGATGAGAGTAAATATGACTGAGACATGATGTGATCTGCTTGGGGAGGAGAAGTGAGCAGTGGCCAGTTTCTCAGGGGAAAAAGGCCTCACGCCCCCTCCTCCAGGGCCTTTTATTGGGTTGTAATCCACAGGAATACAGGGTGGCAAGGATCAAACAGTCGATAACATTTCAAAGAAATCTGAGGGCTTACTATGAGTCAGAGTCTGTGAGGAACAGAGTTTTAGGGTTTCTTGCTCGAACCCTTAACACATGAATGAAAGCACTCTTAGCAGAGCAGATTTCACAGGTTTATCAGGAAGTCTTTGTGATGCCAGATTTTTCCCCAGGACACGCTCTACCAAGGCAAGGAGCTGCACCTCTTCCTATCAGGTATTCAGGCTTAAGGGGATTAGAGCCAGGAAGCGCTTCTACCAGAGAACATGGGGACTCCAGGGGCTATGTCAAAGTGGAGGGGGCGGTGAGAGTCCATTGCTCTTTGTTGCTGCCCCATGAGTCCTTCCATGAAGGCCTCCCAAGTGATGGAGTCTGGCTTAGGTTGCCCCCCCGCTGTGAGGGGTCTTACCCATCATTGCCTTCCCACCAAACTTTGGGGGCAGGGAGAGGAAACTGAGGCAGCGTTTGCTACCAGAGACAAGCTTTGTCTCCTGTGGCTCGCATTCCAAAGGTCTTCCCTCGCCCTTAGCCACAAGGGGTAGAGATACAATTCCTAGAACTAGGCAGAGAGGTCTACAACATGGAGGTTTGTCTTAGGGAACCCGGGGGCCAGTCTGCAGGCCTGGGGGACACTCTGGATCTCTGCATAGGTGGGGTCAGTGAACCAGAGTGAACCTATGACACTGTGGGAGCTTGTGTCCTGAGGGTCTCTGATGTGTCATACATACATGGAAATACGAGGGCATTCTCCCATGGTGTTTACCCCGGGCCTCTCTGAGCGGACATCATTTATTTTTTGGCTTTGGTTGCATACTGTGTGATATGCTCCTAAGAAGAAAGAGTTGAGATGGACAATGGTGAGGAGGAGAGAGCGAAAGAGCTGGGAAGAGATGGAAAAACAAAGAAGAGAAGAGGCAGAAGTAAAAGGTATGGAGAGAGGAAATTTAAAGAAAAAGCCTCAGAACAGGAGATGTGGGGGAAGATCAAGACATAAAGGGAAATGTCTTGACAAGAAAAAAATTCTGAAACATCCTAAATTAAGTTACAGTGGGCAGGAGAGTAAGAGAAAGAGGCAAGAATAATTAACCAGTTAATAGCTGTGGGCCAATGAGCAAAAGACTGCTCACATTCCTGGGTGTGTGTTAGAGCTTTGGATCAAGCTCAGGTGTGCCTGAGCCCACCACGGACACCGTAACAGGAATATGCATGAACTTTCAGGCTGTTGCCTTAAGGACTGTGCTCATACCCTGGAACTGCCCCCCTTTACCTTTTTCCAACCCCTCTTGTCTGTAGCTAGTGTAAATTCTTTCAAAAACAACTTACATCTTCCTTCCCCAAAACGTAATGTATAAAAGATCCCTTTAGAGCCCTGGCTGGTGTAGTTCAGTGGATTGAGCGCAAGCCTGCGAACCAGAGTATCGCGGTTTGATTCCCAGTCAGGGCACATACCTGGGTTGCAGGCCAGTTCCCAGCATGGGACACATGAGAGGCAACCATACATTGATATTTCTCTCCCTCTCTCCTTCCCTTCCCCTCTAAACATAAATAAATAAAAATATTTTTAAAAAAAGATCCCTTTAACTCCAGCACAGTGGACATGCAGCCTTTTCCATCCAGCCCTGCTGCTGGTTGTTCATGCCCCAGCACCTGGTACTTTTCTGATTAGCATATTGCTCAAAAAACTTTCTTTGAAAAAGGTTCAGCCACAGAAGTTAACTTTTTGGTTTAACATGAGAGAATTGGGAAAGAAAGGCAAACAGAGAGGCCAGGGACATACGGAACAGAATGACAGGAATGAGGTAGAAGTCCAGTCACTGAGACACACCTATCTTGGACTTGGAGAAGGTTGGGGAGGAGAGCTCAGACGTGACATCCCTGGCCGTCCTCCTGGCACTCGGAGTCTCCCTGCCAGATTCCCACTCCATTTCCAACTCCACAGGGTAAGGCTCCCTTTGTTTCCTTGGAGGAATGCTCAATCCCAGGTGGAGAGCTTGTAAGGGGTGGGATGTTCTGAATGCCCTGATAATGGTCATTGATAACTAACGGGCCATCCTTCTCTCTGACTCAGGGTTAGAGGCTCAACCCTAGAGGAGTCACGAAGTAGGACTCGGGAGCTGGTCTTAGGGATTTGGGGTGGAGGGGAATCAATCTTGGCAGAGAAGGACCTGAAAAGACAAGAAATCTCTGATATCATCCCTGGGGAAGTTTAAGACCTACTGAAAGGAGCAATTGTTCTTGTAGTCTACAGCCCCAGGGCTATAGCCGTAGGGGTCCCGAGGGCCTTAAACCCAGACTGTGTCTGCAGGAGGACGTGATCCCCTCTCAGTCCCTCAGCTTCCTTTCTGCGTGCACACTGGGCTGACTCTGTGTTCCCAGATGGGGATCTGTAGGTGCTCAGTGTCCACTTGGGGCCCCAAGTCACCCCTCTCAGAAAGAAAATGATTGTGAAGGATCTGGAAGTTTAAGGATGGATGGGGGGGGGGCGGTAAAAAAACGCGTGCAGCAAAATTTAACCATGTTAAAATCTACATGGTGTGTATATGGTACTTACTGTACAATTCTTCCAACTTTTCTGTATGTTTGATTTTTTTTCATATAAAATATGAGGATAGAAAAAATGGTCTGGCAAATAGCAGGCCCTCCTAAGTATAAGACGTGGACAGTGTAATTCCTTTCTAGGAGAACTGGTATTTCAAATGGCAAGGAGAGGGCAATGTTATCCCTAAAGATGACAGACTGCAGATGAGAGCACCTGCAAACATTCAATAAAAGAGAGAGAACCTCAGGCTACACCCAGAGGTAATTCGTAAATTGGCCCATTGAAAGCTGTTGGCTGTTTGCTTGGAGACCTTTTCGCAGGTTTATTCTGCTCCTCCTGAGTGGACCCCACCCTGCCACGTGTAACCCCTGGGAGGAGGGGAGAATAAGATGTTCTAGTCCCTGCCTGACAACTGACCCTAAGAGATTAATCATGTTTGCCCAGGAGGCAAGGTTCACACGATAAAGAGTGGGGGGAAGGCTTAGGCAGGGTATAAAAGACCTGGCAGATTCTGGGGGGTTACTTTGTACCTGAAACTGCCAGGTGAGGGTGGCAGAGGCCTGAGCCGAGGGTGACAGGATGCCCGGATTTGAGTAAGGGGAATTCGAGCTGAGTGGGAGGAGAGCCTGCCTGGACTGAACTGTAGATGGGAGACCTGGGTGTCAGTTACCTGGGGCATCTGGATCTGAGCTAGACATAGATACATCAATATCTGGGTCTCAGCTGAAGGACTGGAGACACTTGGGATGCTCAGGGGCATAGATATGGCCAAATACGTGTTAATGGAGGAGGAGTTATGACAAATAGACCGGGATCTAGTATCTTAAGCTGGTCCCAAATCCTACAACTGTTCAGTCTATCGCACCTCCATCAGACCTGCTTAGAAACGGGCTGGCATAGTCTCCTCTATCACTGCCTTCACTCCCCAGGTGACACGGAGACACACCTCTAAAATGCTCTTTTCCTTCTTGAACCAGGGTGAAAGTAGTAATTTAAACTATGACCCAGACGCCCCATAGGCCAGGCCAATCTACCAGAGGTGGACTTCAGTTAGGTTTTCTCAGATTCCTGGTTTGGTAAACCCAACCATTTTTATGATTTCCTCCACTGTTTCATTTCATTTTATTATTTTTTAAGATTTTATTTTATTTATTCTTAGAGGGGAAGGAAAGGAGAGAGGGAGAGAATATCAATGTATGGTTGCCTCTCGTGGGTCCTCCGCATGGAACTGGCCTGCAGCCCAGGCATGTGCCCTGACTGGGAATTGAACTGCGGTTGTTTAGTTCTCAGGACCGCGCTCAATCCACTGAGCCACACCAGCCAGGGCTTTATTGTTATTTTTAAATTTTTACATTTATTTTTAAGGAGAGGGGATTGGAGGAAGAAAGAGAGGGAGAGAAACATTGATTGGTTGCCCTTCATATGTGCCCCAAACCCAAAACCCAGGCATGTGCCCTGAATGGGAATCAAACCAGAGACCTTTCACATTGTGGGACTCCGCCTCACCGACTGAGCCACACCAGTCAGGTCTCTGCTTTTTCTTTAGAAAAGTCCTTTCCTACATTGTGACAGGAGGGAACAGGGCTTGCCACAGTTTAATTCAGAGAGAGTGCTAGGGCTTGGGACAGAAGAGGGAGGTTGGCTACAGTAGACCAGGGAGAGGTAGCGAGGGTAAGGACCCAGCAGGGGTACCTGACAGGAACAGGACTGGAGGCCACGGACAACTCTTTCAAAGACCAAGATTAGGTGGGCTAGGTCTGACTTGAAGGACCAAGAAGCCCGAGTCTCAACTGGAGGTCAGAGATGCTTGGATAAATAAAGGGAAAGGGTAAATCTTCACTTTCTCCTTCCTTCCCATTCCAGCTCCAGAATGTTGAGGATCACTCTTCTTACCCTTCTTTGTACATCCGCCTATGCCAAATCCGGTAAGTAAGAAGCCAGGAGTCCAGTACCAGGGTCACTGCTGGTGGCCGCGGCTTTCAGAGGCAGGCTTGCGGTGGTGGGAATTGAGTTGTGGCGGGTGTAGGGACGGTTGGGGAAACTGAGCTCTCGGGGAATTTCTGTCTCCAACAGTTCAGGTTAGGTCCTCCTCCTACAATGGAGAGTATGGAGGTGGTGGTGGAGAACGATTCTCTCATTCTGGCAACCAGTTGGACGGTCCCATCACTGCCATCCGTGTCCGAGTTAACAGATACTACATCGTAGGGTAAGATTCTTTGAATTTCTGTGACTGGGGAACCTTCTAGGAGTTCATTAATTGGGAAGTTCTCAGTCACTTTGGGTCACACCCATTTCAATGAACAAGACCCAGGGATGACACAGCAAGTGGAAGTTGTCAGAGTCTGGGATGGAGACCTGTACTACTACAGCCTCTGTAACCCAAACATGAGTGACCGCGGGTAAATCATACACCATATGCCCTCGGGGGCCTGGAAGTTGTCCAGTTTGGCCCCCATCCAAGGTTTATTTATTTTTATTAATTGGTTGAGATGGAATTTGTTGTTCTAGGTATTTCTGTATTCATTGGTTGCTTTCTTGTATGTGCCCTGACCAGGGATTGAACCCACAACTTTGGTGTATCAGATCAATGCTCTAACCAACTGAGCTACCTGGCCAGGGCCCCATTCAAGGTTTAAATCCCCTCTGGCATCCCCTGTGTTTGCATGATGACTCTCTCAAAACCTGCATCCTTCTGATCCTGGATCTGCATCCTGGTTCAGTCTTTTCCCTCATGAGAGCCTTTCCGATATTTGAAAAATTGCTTTGTGTCTTTTGGGGGGGGGGGCAGGTGGGGATCTAGACCTCAAGCTCCAGCTTTGACACTTACTGTCTAAGGGACTCTGGACAAGTTGTGTTCCCTCTGTGATCCTGTTTGTGGTCAACATGAGGAGCTGAAGTTCCCTGTATGATCTCCAAGGGTTCACACAGCCCTCACATACTGCGAGACTGGCAGGAGACATATCATCCCTGTCACCAGTTTGAAGGTCTCAGTGTGTAGGCCAAGAGGTCCTGAGTTCTGATCACCCTACTCAGTGTCTCCCTTTCTTCCGTCCTCACCCTGTCCCCAGTCTCCAGGTGCGCTACGGCAAGGTGTGGAGTGACTATGTGGGTGGCACCCGGGGAGACATGGAGGAGATCTTTCTGCACCCTGGGGAATCAGTGATCCAGGTGTCTGGCAAGTACAAGTACTATCTGAGGAAGCTGGTCTTCGTGACTGACAAGGGCCGCTACCTGCCTTTTGGGAAGGACACAGGCACAAGTTTCAATGCTGTCCCCTTGTACCCCAACACCGTGCTTCGATTCATCAGTGGCCGATCCGGCGCCCTTATAAATGCCATTGGCCTGCACTGGGACACCTACCCCAGTGAATGCTGAGCCCCGGCCTCCTTCTAAGCAGGGGGGCAGTACAGTGGGGGGTGGGAGAACCCCCTTACCACTAACCCCATCCACAAGGCTCAATTAAAAAAATAAAAGGACACGGCTAAAGCTAGTGTGTATGTGGGTGTCTCCAGCTGGGATCCACCTCCTGACGCCGGGTATGGATGTGTGAATCTCACTCTTGGCTGTCGGCAGGATTTCAATCTGGGGCAGTATGAGTATGGGAGGATGAGGGAAAGGTGTTAAAGTCTTCAGCTTTTTTTCATTATTTATCAAAAGGAGGTAAGATTCTGATTTGTACCAACTCATTTTTCAAGGATAGCTCCTGACAGTGTTTACCCAAATTGGAGTTCTGAGGCTGAGGGTAAGACCTGGTTATGGCTTACTGCCAAAAGCCAACATTTTTCCACTCTCCAGCCCTTCTCTCCCCTTGTCCTCCCTTCCCCTTGAGAAAGCACCTCTTCACCAAGGCTGTCACCTCACTCTCTTGACCTTAACCCATTCACTGTATATGGGTGGCCTGGACCATTATCCTTTGTTCTTTCCCAGAACCCCCCTGATTCCCAAAGTTTATCCTAGTGTGTCAAGGACTCTGCCTACTATCCCAGCCTAGTTCCTCCCCACCTTTTCCCATAAGCCTTGGTATCCCTGCTTAGCTCTCTCAGAACTGGGGTTCCTTCCTTAGGAAACCACCACTTCCTCACAGCTTCTATGCTGCCAACACCATCCTCAAAAAAAGGGCATGCCAGCCCTGGCCAGGCAGCTCAGTCGGTTGGAATGTTGTCCTGATATGCCAAGGTCATATGTTCAATCTCAGGTCAGGGCACATGCCTGGGTTGTATGCCAGGTCCCCAGTAGGGGGCGTGAGAGAGATAGCCACATGTTGATGTTTCCCTCTCCTTTTCCCTCCCTAAAAAATAAATAAATGAAATCTTTTTAAAAAAATGATGAAACATCTTTACAAAGGCAGTAATATAAGAAAGGAAGAAGGACAAAGTAAGAATTGAGTGATTTGAGGGGGAGAGTAGACTCAGAAGAACTTGATAACTGAAAAAATGAGGGGGAGTGAAGGAAGAGAGTCTAGGAAAACTACCATATCTGTAGCTTTGGCAGCTGGGAAGAGAGGGATATTTTCCGAGATGGGGGAACACAAAAGAAAAAATTAATTACCTTTTGGACCTGTTTCATTTTGATGAACCTGTCATACACCCTGGTTGAGATCCAACATTAGGCAGAAGGCTGTTTGGGAATAAAGCTCTTTGATTCAGGAGTCATCAGCACATAGGCAATGGAGTTCAAGTGACAAGTGAAGAAGTCTCCTGGGGAAACTCTGGGCATATAAAATGAGAAAACCAAAGCCAGAGGATTGGGGGATATCAACTTTTAATTGTTGGTCCAAAGAAGAATAATCAGTGAAAGAAATGAAAAGTAAAGTGGTCTTGGAGGTAAAGGAAATGAGGAATGATGCACCAGAAAGCAAGAGATAAATTTCAAGGGGTGGTTAATGCCACTCAGTCAACAGAAGGACAAACTTCAGTTTCCTTGGCTTTGACAATCAGGTCATTAATTATCTTGACAAAGTTTCAGTAGATTGAGGATAGCTGGAGCCAGGCTGCAATTGGTTAAGGAATGAATAGGGAATACAGGCTGCAAGAGTTGAATAAGTTTGGCTCTAATAAGCCAAAAAATAGGCAAGTCATAGTTATGAAGGCTGTAAGGAAGGAGGTTTTTTTCCTAGACAGAGAGACATAAGCATATTTATGTGATGAAGAAAGTCAGAGTAGAGGAAGAGGCTGAAGATTCAGGAAAGAGGAGATAACTGATGGAACAAAGTTTCAGAAGTGACTGGAGAGAAGGTTATGAAGTTATTGGAGCAGGAAACTTTAAGAAAAAAGGAATAAAACAAATGAGTGAAGATATAGGTTAGTTTGCATGGGGAGTGGGTATGGAGTAAAACTTGAGGGAGTTAATACCTAACCTTTACCTGTTTAAAGCTTTTGTTTATTTATTTTTAGAGAGAAGGGAAAGGAGGAGGAAAGAGGGAAAGAAACATCAATGAGTGGATGTGCAAGAGATACATCAATCAGTTGCCTCTCACATGCCCCCACGTGGAGACCTGGCCTGCAACCCAGGCATGTGCCCTGACGGGGAATCGAACTGGCAACCTTTTGGTTCACAGGCTGACACTCAATCCACTGAGCCATACCAGCCAAGGCTACTTGTTTAATTAAATTAGTAAAGCTATTGGCTGTATCATTCAGATTTTATGAGAAAGGACCAGTAGGAGATATACGTACATACATACGTAAAAATATTATTGCCAAGAACTGGCTTCTGCAACTGTAGAGGCTGGCTGGGCAAGTCTGAACTCCATAGGGCAGGCCGGCAATCCAGAGTTTCTGAAAACTCCCCTGCCAGAAACTTCAGTTTGGCTCTTTTTCCTCCCTGCAAATTAATTTGTTAGGTTATCAAAATTTATACTGTTAGTAACTTCAGTTTCTTTAAAATTTTTTCAAGCTTTATTGAAGTATAATTGACAAATAAAATTGTAATACAAGTATACAACATAATTTGACATATGTATATATTGTGGAAGGATTCACAATCAAAGTAATTAACACATCCATCATCTCACATAATTACCCTTTAGAAAGTCTGGTGAGCTTAGGATCTACTCTTAGCAAATTTCAATTTACAATTATACAATACAATATTATCAACTATAGTAACCATGCTGTATCTTAGATCCTCAGAATTTACCTTATAAATGAAAGTTTGTACCCTTTTACCAGCATCTCTCCATTTCTTGCACTTCCCGGGTCCTAGCAATCACTATTCTACTGTGTATCTATGTGTATGACTTTACAATTTTAGATTCCGCATAAAGTGATACCATACAGAATCAGTTTTGCTCTTAAGTCTTCAACTGACTAGATGAGGTCCACTAGATTAGCCAGGATAATGTTTACTTAAAATGACTGCAAGTCCTGGCTGTTGTAGCTCAGTGGATTGAGCACAGGCCTGCGAACCAAAAGATCGTGGTTTGATTCCCAGTCAGGGCACATGCCTGGGTTGCAGGCCAGTTCCCAGCAGGGGCCAGTTCCCAGCAGGGGTCACATGAGAAGCAACCATACATTGATATTTCTCTCCCTCTCTCCTTCCCTTCTAAAGATAAATAAATTAAATTAAAAAAAATGTGCTATATTTAAAAAAAATGATTGAGGATGCTAACCATGTCTGTAAAATATCTTCACAGCAACAAAGATTTGTTTTGATTGAATACTATACTATAGCCTAGCCAAATTCACATTCCTAGGAATTTATTGCTACATAAAAATAACTGGCCTCATGGTCCAGCGGTGGAGCGTTTTACAGGAATGACTGAGATGTGAGCGTGGGGGTGGAGGTCTCAGATGCACAGCCTGTGATGGCCAGGAACAGGCATGTCTGGGAGGGCAGCGGCCTGAGGCTGCCTGGTGTAAGGAGTGCTCCAATCGTGCTGGAAGTGAAGGGCCCAAAGGCCTCCAGCTGCACAGGGAGCCCAAAGCTCTCCTGATAACAACTTGGAGTTGAAAGGTAATCTCTCAGAAAAACAACCCTCCTCTGCTAGTGTGGCGGGATTGAGTGCCAGCCTGCAAGCCTAAGGGTTGCCGGTTTGATTCACTGTCCGGGCACAGGCCTGGGTTGCAGGCCAGGTCCCCAGCTGGGGGCATGTGCAAGGCAACAGATGGATACCTCTCCCACACTACTGTTTCCCTCTCTCTCTTTCTCCCTCCCTTCTCTTCTCTCTAAAAGTAAATAAATAAAATCTTTATATAAAAAAGAAGAGGACATCATCAAATTAACCAGGTGACATGACTACTTCCTCACTTGGATCATCATGGACCCCTGTACAGTGGCTGGTACTGATCCTCTAGCTCCCTCCGCTGAGGGGAGCTAGGAGAAAGCATGCCAAGGGAACATAGGACCAGGCCTCTTGAGTGGTCCCCAGAATAGAGAGCCTCAACCTACACAGCTCATGCAGCCATCCAGGAGATAGCTGAGGTCCAGTCGCTAAACAACAATTACCAACAGAACCCAACTCTGCAAGCCATGGAAGACTCCTCTCAGACTACAATTCATGGATCTCAAAAACATTTGGGGTCCAATAAATTCAAGTCCAGCCAATGAAAGTGTGCAATCCTCAGTGTTGTGAATTTGGACTTGTGTGTGTTGGGGAAGGATAGCAAATAAAAATAAATTTTTAACATACAGCATTTGAGAGAACACTGAAGGATCATTCAGATAGGAAGATTATATTAGCACTCATATATGTTTCTGTGGGGGTGGTTATTTCAGGGAAAACAGTTGGGAGAGGTGAAAAACAAGAGGCAACTAACATTTAGTGAGCATCTATCATGAGTTCAGGTACTCGTCAAAACTCCCTCATTTAATTGTGATAAGAATCCTATTTGAAAGTAGTAATATGATTCCCATTTTCAGATGAAGTCACCAAGACAGAAAGCAGCTGATGTGTTTGTAGGACAGATAATAGATACAAGGGCAGATGTCAGAGGTCACTGTGTTCCTTTCCCCACCCAAACTTATTACACCCATGACTATTCCCCAGTATTTAACAACTAAGCAAACTCAAACAAAAAGCACCTTTTCTATTGTATGCTTCAGTTTGCCATCAAAAGGGAACTTACCTAGAAACCCTCTAAATCTTGACGAAGCAAATTAAAATGAGATTTTTTGGACTTAGTACAAAACAAGAGCTCAGAAAAATAATATTAGTTCATTCAGTCGCATTACAAATGTCTATTAGATGCTTATGACATGTCAGGTACTCTGCTAAAAGTTGTTACTTGTCCAAAGTCATAAACATAGTACGTAGCAGTGTCAGGATTAAACACAGGTCTTTCTGATATTGCAAAACCTGGGCATTTTTCACACACCCATGACTTTCAAACATCTTAGAAACAAAATCTTACAAAAAGTTCCATTATGAGGATCACACAGTTGGAAAACCATATCATGCTTTGGCAAATGCATAGGCCTGTATAACCCAAACTCCTTTAAAGAAATAGGACATTACCAGCACCCAGGGAATTCCCTC